GGGACACCGCGGCCGGCCCCTGCCCCCCGGCCCCTGCCCGGCGCGCTCACCCAGGCTCTGCCCCACAGGGGTGCTGAACGGGTTCCCCAGCAGAAACTCCATCTTGGGATGACAACAAACAGCCGGCCCAGCCCGGCCCGCAGCCTCCACCCCGCCCCTCGCCTAGAGGCACCCGCGCCGCCCAATCCGAGCCGCCGGCACGGCCCGTGGCCCCGCCCATGCCGCAGGCTCGCGCCGCTGGGTTGGCTGAGGGGCGTGCCAATCAGATAACCCCGCCCCTCCCCAGTGCGACTCCTTCGTTTTCCACTGACGCAGAGGGGGGGCGGGAGCTCCTTCTGCCGCCCCTCGCCAATGGACAGCTCCGCTCTCATTTCCCCAATTCTATTGGGTAACTGCCACACCAATCACTTTAAAATCCGCCCACCAGGTGCGCTACCCACTCTGATTGGCCGACGCAGTTTCCTCGCGGTCTGATTGGTGGCGGAGCTTCACACCCCTTTTCCCTCCCTCCTTTGCTCCCCACCGAGGCCAGCCGCGATTGGCGGGCGCTGCCCGGCAAGTGACGAGGGAGTCTGGAGGCCCCGCCCTTAGCCCAGCGTCACGTGACTTGACTTAGCAACCGTGCAGGCTTCTTTAGCAACGAGCCCCAGTGAGGGAAGGGAATAGGGCAGGGTATTGGGGGGCAGGGTACTGGTGAGGGGCAGGGCAGGGTACTGGGGGCAGGGCAGGGTATTGGGGGCAGGGTACTGGGGAGACAAGGCAGGGTACTGGTGGGGGGCAGGTCAGGGCACTGGGGGGGCAGGGCACTGGGAGAGGCCGTGGGGGCTGGGCAGACCTATGGATCGACTGATTTATTTGCAGCTTTCTCCAAAATGCTGCGCTCCAGGGAGAGATGAGCTCCTTGTTTCTCCTTGTGACGTAATCAAATAACAATGTTCATGTAATTTGTCCTTCTGGCTAGAAACCGAGGCTGGGAGCAGCCATCGCACAGTGTGGGAGCAGCACGGAGCGTCCGACCACAGAACGGTCCCAGGGAAGCCGTGACACTAAAGCAAGACATGAAGATCCCGTGTGATGCTGGCCCTTAGTCCTTGTGCGCGGAGCACGAATACACCTGGGGGCATAGGACAGGTGCCCTGGGGCTCGAGAGGAGACGGATTGTTTTTTCTTCATTAACCTGGTGTTAAGAGAGCAGAATAACTGATGCCACAGGGGAACACCAAGAGAACAACGCAACGGGGAACTAAAGCTTCAGCCTAAAGGGGAGACCCTCCCCTCACAAACAGCATCTCAGCTTGCCAAGCACTTGCCCAAACAGGAAGATCTTGCGGTGCTTCCACTGTGTGGGCCTGAAGAGGGAAGGAGCTCCCAAGCTGATTTCAATAGGTCAGATTTTGCTGCCATTGATTTCAGGGGTGCAGGATCAATCCAATCCGCATTTCACCCATGTTCAGAGCATTTTATTGCCTGCAGCAATTTAAGAAGCTGCTTAAATTGGTTCCCTAGAGAGCAGCTGCATGGTCAGGGGTGGGCAGACGAGTGGTTGTGTGACAGGCTACGTAGAAAAGCCAGTGCACTGCTGTGTTACAGGTGGAGAAGGTGGCTGGTGGGTGAGAGGCAGGGAGGAGAGGCCAGTGGGCTCATGGCTGGGGGCTGAGGAGGGTTGTTTGGCTGCGTGGAGGGCCGTGGGGAGCTGTAATGCTCTGCCTTTGGTGTCATCTGGTTCATGTAAGTTATGTTCTCCTTAAGCTTGACACGGGTTCTGCACGTGGCATCTTGCCTGTGCACTTCACCCTGTGCTGGCCCTGACTTGCACTTGTTAACATCATATCTTTCGGTAAAGGCAACTATCTCTTTGACTTCAGCAGTGCAGGATCAGACCTTGTGGGTCCTGCACTCTGCTACTGTTTCTTTGCATGTCATACACAGTTCAGTAAACACTGAAGACAGTAGCTGGGTAATGGGTATTGTTTGCCCTTCTCTCAAAGGCCTGAAAATGAGCCGGATATACGATACCATTGAGCCAAATGTGATCGATCAAGAGATGCTTCAAAAGGCTGTTGAGGAGCAAGGTCCTCAAGAAGAAGCAGGGCAGCTTGCCAAAAGGGAAGGCATTGATTTTAAGGATGTCACAGAACTACAGCTTGATTTTAGGAGTAAGTATCAGATTTTTTCTAGGACAAGTTAATAGTACAATGCTTTAATTGTTGATGATATGATCATGGTAAAGCTCAGACTGTTGCACTGACTCTAACTTATATTTTTAGCCCTAGCCATCTAAACTAGTTCAAACAGAGAGAGTTAAAAGGCTTTGCTGCCTGGTAAGAGGCTACAGATCCTGGCAGCTCTTCACGTCATTGTTAATTATTACTTTTTTGTTTGACAGTTATGGAGCAGTGGCACCTTGTGGCCACGTGCAAGTTTGGCCCTACTGCACTAAAACCCAGTCTGATCCAAATGTGTGATGGCAACATATTTTCATTTTCAGATGAGTCCTGACTCCCTATTTCTGTCCAGTTCTGAGTGGGCAAATATCTACCTTAAAAGAAGTTACCTGCAGTACAGCAGGTCAATTTGCCAACTTTGTTGAAAGGCCCAACTAGATCACTAAGCTCATTATTGGGCAGAGAAAGCTGAACTACCCCCTTGCCCATGCTTGTGACCTCCCAGTTCAGTCTACAGTACATTGGTAGGGGTGACATGGAAGCAGTTTGTCCTGCTGTTACGGATATAGGATGTCAGTCTTTGGAGCTATCAAATCAGCCTTTCAATCCATTAAGATCCTGTTTTCTTTTAGGGAACCAGGTGAAAATCTGCATCTTTAATTTTTTCCTTCTAGTGTGGTGATTGTGTGCTAGTGAGATAACTGTGTGTGCAGTTAACGAGTCTGCTTATTGGCACTCATGGACCTGACTTATGCATGCATTTGTTTGGAAGTGATGTGCACTTGTATGCACATTTTGGCCATGCAATTGCAAGCTTAGCATGCAAAACTCCTGCCCTGTTTGTATGTGACCAGTGCCTACAGCTGTGGGGTTTTCCTCTTCTCTGTTTGCATTCCTGCCTTCTAAGCTGACACCCACTGGACAGTTGAACCCAAGTCTCCTATGCTACATGGTGCCAACATTGTGTTCTAATCCATTCAGCCTGTGCCTGGGTCTGTAGTTTTTTTTCCAAAAAAAGGCAAATGCAATGACAGGTGACAGCACTCCAAACAGGAGATTATAAACTGCAGAAAACCTGAGTTCTAATTCCTATAGTGGTCCCAGGCCTATTCTCCATCTACAGCTCCATAAGCTGAACAGTGGGAAAGGATTTATAGAACATGGAGTAACTTTGTAATGCAATGGGCAGCAATTCAAAGCCAGCTAGTCCCCTCCAACAACCTGCAATTTCATAAGAAAGTGCTGTCTCCTCCCAGGAACACTCTTTGAGTTGGAAAGCAAAGTGAAGGTCAAAGGCCCTCCTGGTAGTGAATTCATAAACCCCTCCTTGACTGCAGTCCTGCAGTCAGCATTCCCTCAGCAACTGTCTGGCGGCACTGATTAGCAATGTGCAGTGGTGCAGGACAAGAAGGTTATCCCAGCAGTTTCAATCTAAATCGTCATCCGGCCCCCAGTCCTTTCAGCCATCTCCTGGGCCATCTTCATGCATCAGTGCACGGTCACACTCTGCCGAAAGATTCTTTTGGAGGTAATATTGAGTACGGATCACCTGCACAATGTAATGTGAATGCCATGTTCAGCTTGCATGAATCATACTCCTGATTTTTATTTTCCCCCTTTGGCTTTAGATATCCTGAAGATTGATAACCTCTGGCAGTTTGCAAATCTGACTAAACTGCAGCTGGACAATAACATCATTGAGAAGATAGAGGCTCTGGATAGTCTGGTTCATCTTGTCTGGCTTGGTACGGTTTCAGGATGTGAGGCTGGCATAAGGCAGAAGTAATTCTATCAAAAAGAACTGGTGGTGTTAAACTGCTGTGAGAGCACAATCAGGTCCCTGTTGTGTGCTAGGAATAAAGACAGTTAATGTTAGTGTCAATTGGTGGCTAAGCTTTTGGCATATTTCACACATGTATTCTACTAAATAGTAGGCCTGAAATTGCATCTCATTCTACAGATTGGATGTGGTGCACTTTGAAATGATATTGTGAGATATTAAGTTCTGTTGTGATGGCACTCAAGTAAACACACTGACAACAGTCACTCTAGTGCATTGATTTTGATGGAGATGCACCAGTGTAAAGTTGGAGTTTGGCCCCTAAATCATGAGATATTCTGGGAGCATCCAACTGATTAAAACAGAGAGTAAAATCGAACTGGAGCCCGGAAATCTTCCCCTCTCTGCCACCATAGAGATTCTGCCAATAGAGTAGTAGAATTCTAGCTTCAGTTCAGGATCTGACCACTTTGCTGTTATCAGGAATCGGTTTGCAAAGAGAACATTATTTTGGGCATATCAACCTCTTTGAAGTCAAACAAAAAACATCCTGATGAGGTCATCCTGTTACTCAAAGAAACGAGCCTGAACACAGTGGATCTCAGTTTCATGCCTAACAAAAGCATCTCTCGCCATCTGCAGCTCCACAATGAAAACAGGATATGGTGTTCCCCTCTCAAACAGGATATTCCCAAGGGAATGCAGTCAGCTGGATGCAGCACCCCGCATTCTGACTCTCCAATGCCAGATGATAGGAATATCACAAAATAATCAGTGGTATTAAATATATGGGGGGGTTTGATTTGTGTCCCCATCTCCTAGATGGCTTAGAAAGTCTCAGCTTTTCAGTAATACTTACAAAAGCACCTAAGTTCTATTTTCAAAAGTGATTTAGGTAATTCAGAGCCTAAATCTCACTGAAAGGCAATGGGACTTCAGTTCGTAAGGACATGAAGGAGTGTCTGCTTTTCAGTCTAGAGATGTAAATATAGCATGGTAGACAAACCCGGGTGGGCTTAAAATTAGCTAAATTGGGTACAGATTGCAGTGCATGGGTTTTGGCCACCTGCTCCCTCATCAAGGTCTTGGGTGGGTTCCTAGCCATCTGTTTCAGGGTTGGCATGCTACTGGTGTTCAAGCTAGCTGGTTTAAAACTAGTTCAAGTGTGTCTACACAGGCTGCTTTCTCACCTTTTGAATGCAGCTTAGATGTACCTTAAGTCACTGTTGGAAACATGGGCTCCTAAGCCACTTTGATAAGTTGGTGAGAGGAGAGGATTTCTTAGGGTGCTATCTTCTATTGGACAAGCTGCATAGTTGGGATAGTTAGGCATTCAAATGCAAGACATTCTTTATCCATGTCTTACATTTGAAAACCTGTCTAACTCTATCCCACATATGCAGTTGGTCTAATAAAAGCTATCGCCCTAAGAAATCCTCGTCTCTTGCATAATTCCTGGACCATCGTAGCTACAACATCACTCTACCACTGTCTTTGACAAGTTTGACATTTTTATAAGAGATTCTACATAAGTTTAAATGCTGTATGGAAGAATAAAATGAGTGAAAGAGTCCATGAGTGAAAAGGCTAAGATGCACCAACTCTTCCGTGGTGCATCTCCACAGACAGCAGTGAGGTTGCATGGAACTAAGAGCAAGGGTTGCCTTACTGGTAATCAACATTAGGGTAATGGTTTTGTGACACTGGTGAGGGTTCTTGAGAAATAATAGCTGGTGTTATCAGCTTTCATGTGGAAAATGCATTACAGATTTCACCTCTTTAAGCATGTTCTTACCTGTTCTCTTGTCCTTTGCAATTTCGTGCAAGAAACCTGCATAAGATTTCTTCTCAGTGTCTTGCTCATTGTGTTGTCAAGAGGTAAGAGGTAGGACATGGATGGGCAATGTAGACAGCCTTTGCCCAAAGGAGTATTTCAGTGATTTCCCTAACTGACTACAGACTTGCAAGGTTCAGTGTTAGAAGATGCATCTGTTTTGCCCTGGCCAAATGGGTGGTGGGTTTGTGCAGAGCCTTGAACATAAAGGAGAGAAGTGTTGATGAATAGCTTGTCACCCCTAAGGATAGCAATTAACCTAGATACCATATTCGAGATACCAGCTGAACTGCAGGCCTTGTGCTCTATAGGTTAGCTGGAAATGGTCTTTTTGCTCATAAAACATCTTGAGTGTTAAACTGTTTTGCAGATTTGTCCTTCAACAATATTGAAACCATTGAAGGTCTCCATGCTCTGGTTAAACTGCAGGACCTGAGCCTCTACAATAACAGAATATCCAAGATTGAGAACATGGACATGCTACAAGAATTACAGATCTTCTCCATTGGAAACAACAATCTAACCTCTTTGGAAAATGTAAGGATCGTATGGTCTCTGCCAGCGTCTCCTCATGATCAAAGGTTCTCATATGGGCACCTGTCATTGAATCTGAACATCTCTTTAGAGAAGTGGTTCTTGATCTTTCTGGACTCAAGGTGTCCCTCACTGGACTCGAGATACCCCTCCAGAACATTTATGAATTGAGTGGCACCCTATTTAAAAAAACCAGTGTATATATTGCAGTGCTTAGCTCCTTACAGAGGGGCCGTGGAATGGAGGGGCATCCAGGCAGGGACAAGCTTGAACCTAGGTTTATCTACTTAGTCTATCTACTCATCTCCTCACACCCCTGGTTGAGAACCACTGCTTTAGAGGGATAACCACTGGTCAGAGGGATAATCAGCTGTCCCTGCAGGTAACTCTCATTTCACCTGGCTTAGGATTATTCACACTTTGGGTCAGATCTTGCTACCAGTGACACTGATGGCAAAACTTTTCTTGACTTCAGTGGGAACTGGAACAGGGGAATGAGTTACCTGAATAGAAAATGGAAGGCAGGATTTCTGAGGGTGTGCTTTGATTTTTACATTGCAGAAGGCAGCTTTTGGTGGAAGCTTATCCACCATCCAGCTGAAGGCCTCCTCACCAACCCATTGCCCAAGTGTCCACAGTTCAGAGTTGTACTAAAGTTCTAAGAATGCTATAGAAGATAGTTTATTTTCCAAATACTGTGGTTCAACCCTGCTGGATAGCCATCCTTTTCAACCTGTTTCCACGCTTGGACATTCAGTTGATTGCATTGCGTCAGCTCTCTCTGAAGGACGAGGCTGTCAGCCAGATCCTGAGCCACAACAGTGATGATCAATGTCATGAATTTCAAAGCGTTGCATTTTTTGCTTTCCACCCCCTGTGCGATGGTTGCAGCATCTGCTTTTGTTTGGCCCAGGTAGTCTACCTCAGGAAATTCAGCAAGCTGCGCACGTTGAATCTTGCCGGGAACCCTCTGTGTGACGACGAGCAGTATTCGATGTTTATTGCTGCTCACCTCCCAGATCTGGTGTACTTGGACTTCAGGCTTGTGGATGAGAATACAGTAAGCACTTCTGCTGCTCCTGTATCGAGGGCACAAGCCCTGTCCACAGCATTCATCATGCTGTCAGGCTTGGAATATGCCAGCACTCAAAGGATTAGAATCTTCATATTTTAATTGCTCTCTGACTGAAATACTTTTTAGGGAAATAGGTGCCATTGGAAATGTCCTTCCTCTGCCTGTAACCAAGCACAGTAGGCTGGCTGGGAAGCTGATGTACTAGTAACACATAATAATGGCTTCTTGCCTCAAGGCTTGGGGGAAGCACAATATTACAAAATTAATTAGAGATTTACTTTAACATAGTCCTAGAAGAGACCTCTTAGGTCACTGAATCCAGTCCAGTGCAGTGCAGACTGCAGGCAAATGAGGTCCTATAATACCATCCATAAATTGATCAAATTTCATCTTAAAACTAGCCAGGTCTCTTGCCCCAGCACTCCTGTTCTTCCACTCCATAGAAGAGCCATCACCTCCATATTAAATCTGCTGCCAGGTTCATTGGCTGATTAAGCCAGAGCACAGCCTCTTATACGAAGAAGCTGGGCTACCTCTGTAAATAGTTCCTAAAGGTGGGGAAATGAGGGAGGAGATAAGATATTCGCACCTCTGACTCAGAAGGATGGAATAAGGCAGCTCAGTCACAGACTAGTGGAAATGAGATCATTAGGAATGAAAATGGAGGGTCACACTTCACAGCCATTCAATACAAAACACACAAGTAAAATGTGTAGAATGTTACACTCCTGACTCTGATACACACTGTTTTGGCAGTGGGACAGTCTGACCAAAATATTTTCTTCTTTGTACCTCTCAGCGAGAAGTTGCCGAAATAAAATATCAGTATGCTATCGATGAGCTGAAACAAGGTGAAGCTCAAGCCCTGGCTAAGCTGGAAGAGGAGCAGGCTAAGCAGAAAGAACTGGACTACCACAAGGTATGTTCTCCTTGGCTGGTTTTATATTACCACCGTGGAAAGAAACCCAACAGATATTGACTTCTCTTTCACCCGCTGAAAGATTTAATGGGAGGTTAACATTGATTGAGTTAAAACAGAGGTCACTATTAATCTCTGGGATCGGTAAATCTTGTCTTTTGAATGAAAACAAAAGCTGCTGTGGAATACCCATGGTATGGGGGAACATAGTTCTTTTGGTCAAACTGTGAAACATACACGGTGGGCCCTGATTTAGGGAAGCTTGTCACGGCACAGGGCCCTAGGAGCGGCCGTGATCTCTCCCACGCCCCCTACCGTGCCAAGTTGGCGCTAAAGCACCCTCGTTCTCGCCCACCACGTCTTTGATGGTATCTATAATGGAGGCTGCCTTTTGTCCCCTTTGACACGGTGCTCTGGTCTATCCTGACCCCCGGTTCTTTATGGACTGACTTGGCGCACCGCAGCCTTATGGGCTATGCGTGGCTCCAACCTCCCCTCTACCACGCCTGAAGCCTCGCTGATGTACCAGACATTGTCTGGTCAGTTTCCTGTCTGTGCCCTGACTGGCGCCCCCGGGCTTGTCACGCAACCGGCGCCCCTCACTGGCGCCCCCGGGCTTGTCACGCAACCGGCGCCCCTGGGCTCGCTAGCCCTCTCGGGGCTTTTCTCGGCGCACTCGCCCCTTCGGGGCCTCTCTGTGCGCCCGCCTCTATAGGATCGCCTTCCCCTGGGGCTTGTCTCTATAGCATCACCCTACCCTGGGCTTCTATTCATGTGTGCCCACCCTGGGGCGTAACACGAGCACCCTCCAGGCTTCTTGCCGGTGCCCACACTGGTGCTCCTTGTAATTGGGGCTCAGGTGGCCTTAGCCTTGCCCCTAAATCCGCCGTGCCCCTTTCACAGGGCTGGGGTCAGTGCCCCCTGAACGTTGTGCCCTCACTGGGCTTCTTGCCTGCACGCCCCTCCCTGGGGCTCTGCCCACACTAGGGCCTTTCTCTGCACTTAGGGGCCAGGCACGGCTACGGCCACCTGAGCTCCAAATCCCCTGCTTGGGTCAACAATTCCTGTGGGGGCCCAGGCAGCCTCGTCCTTACCTGGCCCCTGTCCTCTGTGCCCTTTCTCAGGGCTGGGGTAGTGCACTCCTAAATGCGGTGCCCTCACTGGCACCGGGGTCCCTACTTCTGTGGAGCCCCGCTGAGGCCTCCTCCGCCTCTATTAGCCTCACCTGGTCCTCCGGTGTTACGCAACAAAGCAAAACCATAAGCCAATTAGCTGCAACACAAAAATAAGCCTCCTGGCTATAACGCAAACTCTAGCCCCCTGGCTAAACCTCCCTCAAACCCCTACCAGGGGTTTCTCCTCACCCAGGAGCTGTTTCAGGCCCTTGGGCTGCTCTGCTATTCCTACTCCCAGCAGAGCCCTCTCTTCGTCAGCTGCCAGAGGGGAACTGCCTTCCTGGCCTCAGCCTGGATCACCTTTATATAGGTCAGGCCCTGCCCCCTTCTGGTCAGCTGACCAACTGCGGTTGCCCCGGCAACCAACACCTGTCCTTCTATAGGAGCAGGGCACCAGAGTGCCCTGCCACAAAGCTTAAAAGTAAATCGTACTTTAGTTTCTTGTCAGAGTGATGGTAGATTAAGACAATTATAGGCCTAATGGAACTATTAGTATTATTTATGTTGCAGTGTTTTTTCCCCCTATGTTTTTTCCCCTTTATGTTGCTAAGTTATTGGGTCATAATAAAATATGCATGTAATATTCTCAGCGCTTCAAGCTCATTTTGGGCATAAAACAGAGAGACTATCTATGCATGTAGCAAGAACAGTTTGGGCAAAGTGAAGCTCTCAGCTACCAACTGATTCTCTGAGAGCTGCTCCCTTGCCTACTTGCTCTGCTGCTTACATGGGACTGTGGCTGTTTTGCATCCATGTTGTTTGCTTTTCTCCTTCCACTTGGCCTCTGGTCTGTTCACTATATTGTTGAAGCATGTGGGCAGAGCAAGGCTTCCAATGGGTGGCTGTCATAGGCCTTCGCCACCTCTATACTCACAGAGGTCCCTTGGCATCTGAGATTCCTGCTGCTGTACATGGAACCAGCAGGAGGCTTGGGAAAACAGGGTGATGGGTTTAGAGAGGAAAGGACATGGGTAGGGAGGGACCTGGATGAGGCCCTTCATGGCTAACCACCTTTATGGCTGTGCTTTGCTGTCCCTTTCATGCTCGAGTGACTGAGGCTTCAAGCTCCAGGCCCACAAAGCAGAGTTGAATTGCTCTGTCTCCATGTTTGCTAAGCAAATGAGCCCCCATCTCTTCCCATGACAGTAAAACCTTTTCCTTGGAAAGCCACAAGCCTTCACCCCCTATCCAGTGATAACAGGCTGGTGGATTGTTCTGAGATTCACTCCCACAGCACAAGGCACTCTTCATTCAGATCTGGGGAGTTTGAAGAATTCACCCAAGGAGACTCGCTGCCTGAACCTTCCTTTGCACTTTAAGAAACAGAAAGGAGCCACGTTGAGTACAGGGTTCTACCCACCTTGCTAGGTTGGGCAAGGATGGGATGAAGTGAGGGCTCTGACCACCCCAGCTGTGCTCACCAAAGCCTCTCATGTGGATGCAGGTATATCAGCAAATCTGTGAGAAGCAGGAGAGGGGTGGGGGTTACTAGACAGCCCTGGAGCTCAGTGTTGCTGATGTGAGCTGCGTCCCCACTAGGAGAGCTTTGCCAGTAGAGCAAACCAGGATTCATAGACAGGTGAAGAGCTCCTTTTGTAGACATGGCCTAAGATTCTGCAGCAAGTTGGCATTCCTCATTTTTTTTCTGTTGTTCCAATTCTTTCTTAAGGCTGCTTATGTCGAGTACCTCAATGGACCCTTCTTGTTTGAGAGTATGTATGCAGAGGATGCAGAAGCAAACAAGCTGGCTTACCTCCCCGGCATGCCTGACCTGCTGGAGACATATCCTTCCTGGCTTTAGAAAAGCTAGCAATAAATAGCAAATGGCGTCAGGTGGCAGGGAGGTGCATCACCAGGGATGCTTCATCTGCTTTTTTTGTACAGGCTTGAAAGCTACATTGATCTGAGATCTGAGGCTTGCAGTGTTCAGGCTTGGATCAGTGCCATGGAAGCACTGCTGGACCGTGAGACCCATGACAGCTTTAAGGGCTGATATCTCATGAAACACAGGGACTACAAACTAATGCTTTGTACCACAGGCACTCTAGCAATGCTGACTTAGCCCCGTTTGAATAAATCTCTCATTCCTAATGCTGGCAGGCCATGAAAGATCAGAGCTGTAAAATCTCAGCTTTCCAATTACCATCTTGCTTTTTCTGCACACGTGATTTTAGCAGCCATTACCTTTCCCACCTGTAGCAACAGGGGCTTTTCAGTCTCTCTAACTCTGGAATTCATCCTACCTTTCAAACAGTATTGAATGTTAATCCCTGCCTGTACCAGATTATGAGATAGGAGTTGCTAAAATCATGTTGCGGTTGACGTGGCAGGAAGTACTAAGGAACTAATCAGTATGGAGTCTCAGTCTCCCAGAGTAGAAGTGCTAACTCTTTGGGATCAGTACAAACGTACTTCAGACCAAGACATCTTTCTAAATTTCGATCCTGTCCCAGTGAGCAGAAAGCAAAGACTTGTATGTTTTTTCTTTCCTAGCTCAGATAAATGGGATGTTGTCAAGTCCTAGAATTGAACTGAGACTTCCTGAAGGCTGCTGTACAGTGGCGTGGGAAAAGTTCATCACAGTCTAAATACCATAGACATTAGAAACAATTCCATTGACAAGATAACAGCAAAAAAAAAGACATGATTTTTGTGTTGCTACCAAATCAATGCATTGTGTGCTCTGGAGCACAATTTATTAACTTCACATGCTCTATCCCATTAATATGGCAGAGAAGAGTCCGAGGAGCCTTCATAGGTGCCCTCTAGTCACGCTTCCTCCACCTAGGTTAGGTAGTGAAGTCCCTTTGCTTGAGAGATGAGGATGGGTCCAGCTCTGCAAGATGCAGTGTGCTCATCTTGCTCAACTCCCACCAACTTCATTGGAGATGAGCAAAAGACAACCTGATCCTCTTGCCTTGAGATTAGTGAGTGTTTGTAGCTAGAGGGCAGTGTTGATTATCACGGGGCGTTGCTTGCTGTGTTGACTCATTAAACTCACACAAATGAGATCCCTTGACTGGTTTCACATACAGGAATAAATTTGAATCGGTTTGCGAGAAATTGTTTGCCTATGGTCTGGAACAATATGAAAAGCGAGAAGCCGAAGTCTCAACTTTCTACAAATGCCTTCAAGAAGCACTGGCAGCCAATCAAGAGCAGGGCACAAAAATAATCCTGGAGTTTGAAAACCAGAACATGGGGGTAATTTCTTACAGCCTTTTGTTTGCTTAAAGCAATTGTATAGGGTAGTCTAGTGTCTGATCTGATGAACATGGAGTAAATCCATTTAAATCCTTTTAACAGTGCCAGATTTTCACTAGTGTCATGGAAATCAGAATCCAACCCCAGCTCCTACTGTACCCACTTCCATTGACCGGTCTGCAATACAGGATGATATTTTGTTAGCTAATATATTATTGAACGTGAATTAAAGTAGACATGTTGTGTTTAAAATCATGTCAGCTGGTAGTACGTGATGTTTTCCCTCCTGGGGCTCACCACCACCAGCTGCCATTATTTTGAACAGGACACTCCTTGTCTATACCAAGTATTTATAATAATGTAAATTAGCATATGCTAATAGGATGCCATTTCCTAGTGTTGAAAAAATTGCTTTGTTGCCTTTGTATAGAGCTGGTCATACGTGCTTTAATTTTTTTTTCAACAAAAGACTTTTTTTTTTTAAAGAAAGTGAAAATTTTCATTAAAAATATTTAAAATTGATGATAAAATTAATTGGAAAGAACATTTCTGTTGGAGAGTTGGAGTTGAGCTTTCCTTTTCCTTCTGGCTTGGGGCTCCCTCCCATGTTCTCTTTCCACTGGAAAAGCAAGACAAAAAGCCAGAAAACAAAACAAAGATGATTTTTTCAAGTCATGTTTGTTTTGATCCATTTTCTCCCAAAATGAAGACATTTTTGCAAACTTTGACCCGAAAAATAAGGTGAATTTGGTTGGGATATATTAGCAAAAAACACTGGTCTCCCCACCCTGCACTGGGGAGAGCTGCAACCCTGTGGTTAAGAGAACAGCTTCAAGCTGGATCCGTATCTAACCATTTAAACCACATGGATAATTAGTTTTGTTTCCATGGAAAAGCTAGGCAAAACTCTGTGTCAGCAGGATGGAACCAAGTCCCTTATAATTGACTCTGGAGGGAATCAGGAGTGCTGACCGTCTCCCCAAACCAGGCCCTGTTTATTCAGCTGCTGTGCAACACAGAGCAGGCTGCTGAGTCACTCTGGTATCAGGTGCTGAACCCCAGTGTGCTGGTGAGTGTCACTTACTGCTGACTCACACTAACACACCATCTGGGTCGCCTCTGGCCAGGGCGTAAGAGGCTTTTAAAGCCTCTCTTGAAGACAAAGAGTGAAGACTGAGAGGTACTGAATGGAAATCGGGGAGGAGAGTCTGTCTTGACAAGAGCACTGAGAGGTACCTTCTGGTATTTTCAGTGAGCTGCCAATAAATTCACACCCAAAATGGGGGAGAGTTTCAGGGTTTAGGCCACATGCCTACAGGCACTTCAGAGCAGAGGGAAGGTGCCTGGGTGCAGACTGCAAGGTGGATTGAGGCACTCAGCCCAGCACCGCCCTTCTGAGAGACACTTGAGCAAGGTCACAGGCATGAGTGACTGATGCCTCCTAAATCTGGCAGGGCACCCGCAGAAGCCATCGATGGCGGTGGCCCTGTCAGAGGGAGCACCAGCCCTATCGACAGCATCAGTGTCGGCTGTCGGGGGGGCACCAGCCCCGTCGGGGGGGGCGCGTGCACCCCCGTGCACCCCTTACCAGTTGCCTATGGTCACAGAGGAGGCTGCTGTCAGACCTGGAAACCCTATTAAAATGTATCTGGCGATACCAGCCTAAACAGGAGGAGAGCAGTCCCAGTCCTAAAGTGCAGCTTGTTTTTGGGGTCTTTTTCTGTAGCTGTACTTTCCTCTACAAACTGCAGGATACCTCTGCACCCTCTGAAGCTGGTAAAGGAGCAAAGCAGCAGGCTAAAGCCCTCAAGCAGTTGCAGTTACTAGGGGAATCATCACTTAAATTGCTTGGGAACCTTTGGAGGTCGGTTTGCTAGCTCAGATAAGGAGGGGGAAGGCTCCTTTTAAACATCCAAAGTGGGCACAATCTCATCTTGTCCAGACACAAGTCTGGGCAGTGATTTTCACCAGAATCTCCCATTTTAATCCATCCTGTTGGCTCCAACTGTGATGGATATTAGGCTTCTTAAAATGTATTTGTAATGCTGTGATTTCAATAGGGGAGATTTATTTCAAAGACGCTTGAAAATAATACATGGCTCAGCATATTAAGATTTGTTGACCTCAGAGATAAATCTCGTCTGATGTGAAACTGATGTCAGTGTTTAACGCTGAAGGACTATAAATTGTGGTACTTGCTGTAACAAGAAGTCAGTATGTGATCTGTGTTATTACATGCTCTCTGATTTAAAATCCTGCTTCTGCTGAAGACGGCCAAGATTCCCATTGACTTCAAGGGGACTAGGGTTTAGGCCTGGATTTCTGCATGAGAAATAATGGCACATCTCTGCATTAAGGCAATGAATTTTAGAAATCCAGTGATTTTCCTTCGCAGGTAGCTGTCTAAAGGGGAGTTGAACGCAAAGGTGGAGGAAGAAAAAGGTAATTTGCTGCCCGAAGACAAGTTTTCACAGCATTCACAGCAGCATAATCTGATAGGTTCGGGTGGTAGCACATCCCCACATTGTTCATCTCTATGTATGTAAATCACAGAAACCCGTAGAATTACCACATTTCCTTCCAGCCAATCCTGTGCTGGAACATTTCTCAAGTATGTAACAAGCTAATTAAATATCCAATAGAGCAGTGACCACAAATGACAAATAATGTATGCCTTTCTATATGCTTAGCTGCTGGAGGTGGTTCAGGACATGAGTAGCTTTGACATGGCTGAGACAAAGCTAGCTAAGTACAACGATGACATCATTCAGTTGTCCGACACACTAATGACGCTGGAAATGCAGACTGTCGACCAGCTTGAGGTAAGGCCAGGGAGGTACCGCCATGTCTCGGGGACAGAACACAAGGTCTATTTGCTATTGCCTGGCACTGTGTAGTCTCATTTGTGCAAAGCAGGTACAGAACTCTCCAGCTCTAGGTGTTGTAGGCCCCCCTGTACTCCCACTCTGCATAGGTGCAAGCACGTGGAGTGAAAGGTGACAGGGAATCAGACCTATGTGGCAGCAGAACATCATTTCTAACAGCAAAGCTCATAACCTCCCCCCTGGCACCCAAGACAATGGCTGAGGTTCCAGCTCGGAGGACACAGGCTCTTGGAGCACCGTGTAGGCTAGCATATGAAGTGTGCTGCCCACTTGTCAGGCATACTCCCAAGATGCTAATGTGGGGGATCTCTTAAACCAATCTGCTATGCATCCAAAATACACACATGCCCCCTCTCCTCCGCCATTACCAGTCCCCTTCCACATGGAGCCCACGCTGAGCATAACAGAAGGCAGCAGAGTTCTCCAGGGATTCTGTATAGTTCAGTGTTGCTTTTTCTCATTTAGGCTCCAAAGAGTTCCTAATAGAGTTGGTGATGACAGGTAAAAATATCAAAGGTGGGTTTTTTTTTCCCTATGCTCCTTACTTACCCTGAAGCATCATGACACTAGAGTGTTTTAATCACCTTATCTGACATGTCGTAGATCTTTTGATTTCACCAACCACCCAGGTTTTGAGAGGTAATTGTAAGCAACATCCATCTTCAGAGACTTCTAAACACTCTCTCTTAATCCTGGCTATTAATTGTGCTTCTGATGGCAGAACCTTCAAGAATGCAGGAAGATTCTGGCAGTAAACAGGGACACAGTGTTCTCTAATCCCAGTGTAAAGATAAGGTTAGAAGCAGTGTGGTGGAGGGAGTCCTGCAGGCTCAGGGGAGAGGTGTTGCTCATCCAGCTCCTCCCAGTAGGACTGACTCTGATCTTCCCTGATGATTTTCTGACCCAGTGCAGAAAAGCACATCCCCTTCTGCATTTCCCAACAACAACAGTCTGAGGCAACTTTGTGCTGATTAAACTAATGCATCAAGAGCAGACTGCATTTAAGACACCCCCCATGCTGTTCCAATGTTTGTGCGCGTCTGTGCGTTGGGTGTTTGATAAGTTTCCTTTCTTTTCTCAACAGGAAATTATAAAGGATTTTGAAAGAAACATTGCTGACCTAGTGTCAACGTTTATCGAAAACGTCCAAGGGATATATCCTTTTGATGGGCTGCTGGCCCCAGGGCTCTTTAATACGTATGTCTGACCCACAGCAAAGGAAAAGAAATGACTTTGAGGCTTGGAAGCCAGCAATCACTGTGTGGGAACAGATTTCTTCCTATTAATGTGTGGTGGACTTTGATCAATCCCTTGTTAGGACTGCTCGCCAGCACGTGAAATGCAGGCTCTGCTCAAATACTGTTCTATATTATTCGGAGCAAAACAATACAAGCAGGGCCTGCTTTGCAGTCCAGCTGTGTCTGTGATGAAATTCAAGGGAATGGCCTGGTTTCAAAGGCACAAAGGGCAGGTAGATACCTCAGCCTCATTGAAAATCAATGGGGATTAAGCATTTTGCTGCTCTTCATGCATTTGAAAATCTGCTCCCCTCCCCGCCTCTCAGCACGTGCTGGGTAGAAGGCTTGGCAAAACTCGCTGTGCAACTCCTGCTACAGGTTGCTGACCTGTTAATAGGTGAAATATTGCAAATTCCCCCAGAAGTTTCTCTGCATGGCCTCAGTGTTTATGCAGCTGTGTGCTTTCCCACCTCTGAGGTGGCTGTATTTTAGTGGCAGGTGAAATGATTTGACCTACACACTGATCTCCTGATCCCAGGCAAATAACTGCCAGGCTCAGCATTTTGCATGCACTCACGGAGGCCTTGCCTTTGGGTGCCCTTTGTGAACTTGACCCCTGATGTCAGTTCTGTACAGCGTAACACAGCCCAGAGGAACTCTCACATGCGTGACCAGAGGAGAAAGAGCAAGAAGAATTACTTGGGGACAACCTTTGGGTGCAAGTGTTGGAGAGGCCAACTAGGAGCCATGCTCTCCTTGACCTGCTGCTCCCAAACAGGGAAGAATTGGTGGGGGGGGGTGTAGAAGTGGATGACAATTGGGCAGCAGTGACCGTGAGGTGATTGAGTTCAGGATCCTGACAAAAGGAAGAAAGGAGAGCAGCAGAATATGGACCCTGGCCTGGACTTCAGAAAAGCAGACTTTGGCTCCTTCAGGGAACTGATGGGCAGGATCCCCAGGGAGGCTGGTCTGAGGGGGGAAGGGAGCCCAAGACAGCTGGCTGTACTTTAAAGAAACCTTACTGAAGGTGCAAGAACGAATCATCCCGGCATGCAGAAAGAATAAGAAATGTGGCAAGTGATCAGATTGGCTTAGCAGAGAACTCTTCAGTGAGCTTAAACACAAAAAGGAAGCTTATAAGAAGTGGAAACATGGACAGATGACTAGGGCAGAATATAAGAATATTGTTTGGGCATGCCGGGATGAAATCAGGAAGGCCAGAGTGCAGCTGGAGTTGCAGCAAGCAAGGGACGTGAAGGATAACAAGAAGGGTTTCTACAAGTATGGCAGTAACAAAGGGAAGGTCAGGGAAAGTGTGGGTCCTTTACTGACTGGGGGAGGTAACCTAGTGACAGATGAGGAGAAAAAGGCTGAAATACTCAATGTCTTTTTTACCTCAGTCTTCACAGGCAAGGACAGCTCCCGGACTACTGCACTGGGCAGCACAGTGTGGGGAGGAGGTGAGCAGCCCTCAGTAGTGAAAGAACAGGTTAGGGGCTATTTATAAAAGCTGGACTATGTCCATGAGGACAGATGCAATGCATCTGAGGGTGCTGAGGGAGTTGGCTGATGCGACTGCAAAGAGGATGGAGCTGGACTGTTCTCAGTGGTGACAGATGACAGAACAAGGAGCAATGGGCTTAAGTTGCAGCAAGGGAGGTTTAGGTTAGATATTAGGAAAAACTCTCTGACTAGGAGGGTAGTAAAGCACCAAGATGGGTTATCTAGAGAGGTGGTGGACTCTCCATCCTTGGAGGTTTTTAAGACCCGGCTAGACAAAGCCTTGGCTGGGACGGTGTAGTTGGGGCTGGTCCTGCTTTGAGAAGGGGGTTGGACTAGATGTGACCTTCTGAGGTCCCTTCCACCCCTCATTTTCTGTGATTCCCACTGCTAGATCGGTTTCTTACTGAGGGTTGTGATGCAACGTCAAGATAAGTGAATTCTTAGTGAGCACATCATATGGCAGGAGCCAGCCTTTTGGCAGGCACGCCACAAATTAGCCCCACACCTTCCCTGATCGCCACTCTGATCCCCTTCCCCTGCCCAATTGGCTGCTCTACTTCTGCTCCATGCATGACCTGCTACTTTGCCTTCTGTTCCCTGCCCTGCTACTGTGCTCCCTGCTCAACTTGCCACGTGTCCCACACAGAAGCTGCCCATGCCACATGTTGGCCAGCCCTGTTGTAGGCTAATACTGTACTGCTTGCTTTGGGAAAAGGAGCTCTCTGCAAGTATGTAACATTGAGCCCCATTTGGCAGAGGCAGGTCATTTAACATGTGTATCACTGCTGTTTTGTTTCTTAACCTTCTTCCATACGATGGCCCAGTGCCGGGACCTTGAAAACCATCATCACGAGAAGCTGCTGGAGATCTCCATCAACACCTTGGAGAAAATTGTCAAGAGCGAGTTTGAGGAGGAGATACCCGATGATGTTCGGATGGTGAGGACACTCGCACGGGGCAGAAAGCAGCTCTCCTTCAAAGTGGAAATCCCAGGCTTGCAGGAAGAGGGGGTGCAGCCTGTTCCCAGGGGTTCAGATGCTGCAGCCAGAGGAAATGGTTGTGGGGGAGCTGTCATTGCAAGATGCACATCAGCTGTTGTGATGCAACTATTGCCTCTCTCTGGCCCTACTATACGGAGATAAGGCACTGTAACTTTTACACCGAATGAAACAAAGTTGAAGTTTCATTAATTGGGCTGCACATCTGTCACATGCCCCAGACTCCTTTAGATTTTCTCCCATACTCCATGTTCTAGCTCTGTAAGATCCCCCTATAATACTTCTGTTAGGGCTGGAAAACCTACACACAGGCTTCTCAGAGACTCCTCAAAGCTGCTCGTGGCTGCCCAAGGAATGCTGTCCTAGTATTGTTTCAGAGGAGACATCTAGTCCCAGTTAACCACATCTCTGCCCAGCACCCAGCAGGACTGACACTCCTAACCAGCACCCTCCCTGCCTAGTGCTCAGCCTGAGAGGCAGAAGTAGCTCTCTTCAGCATGCTTCCCTCCAGTAAGGCAGAAGGAAACAAGTGACCTTGTGCACTGTACAGTCAGAGACTAGAACCTCCTCCTCAACCGCTGGGCAGGGTCAGCTCATGGCTTTACAGGCTATGATCCTGGCTGTGGTTAAGCACTGAAACAGGGTGGCCTGTCCTCTTAAGAGGAGGGGCTGCAGCTGTGTGAAGGCTAATGATGGGGTGTCAGAAACCCTAGCAAGCAGAACGAGAAGCATACAGAAGCACCAGAACAGGAGGCTTCTGGGTGCTAGGAGAGCAAGCCCCCTCTAAGAAGACCATAGCCATGGGGGTCTCTCCCAGTGCCCGGGACGAGGCTTTTTTTTTTTTTTTAAATGAAAAGACTATATGCAACTGGGGCTCACAGAGACAAGTGGGGAGCAAAAGTCTGGTGGAAGAGGGCCTGAGGCAGCAACCTGGTGCAAAAACCCTTGCCAGACACCTGGTCTAGTGTCCATTTCCCACTCAGAAGTGGATCTGCACTTGTTTAACAGCCCCACGAATCTGTAGGCAGAGAGTCATTACATTGAATAGAGGCCGGTCTCCCTTTACAGCTGCAGGGCGAGATGAGGTTCTGCGAGGGGAAGCTGGAGCGTGAATGCCCCCCGTGCAAGTCACCCTTTCCCAGTGTGATTACTCAGGGCTGCTGGGGGCACTTGGCCTGGTGCTGCTTTGAGCAGAGGGAGCAGCAGAGGTGTCCTGAAGAGGGCCGAGAGCTGCTATCACCCATATCAGGGAGCGTGTTTCCTTGCCCGGCAGTATTATTGGGAGCCTTGCTGCCGTATATCCAGTTCTGAGACCTGTTGCTGTTGTAGCATTGCTGTCTAATCAGACCGCACCTCTTGTCTGTTCTGTCTCACTCCCCAGCTCTTTGTGGACAAGGACACCATTGTCAATGCAGTCAACGCCTCCCACGACATCCACCTCCTGAAGATCGATAATAGGGAGGACGACATAATCACCAAGGCCAACAGCTGGCAGGCTGCAGTGATAGAGGAGGTAAGGATGCCCCTGCAGTGACAAGTGGCTGCAAGGTGAAGCCTTGGAAGTGCATAGTCCTGCTGTGGCAGGGTGGAGAGGAAGGTAGCGGGCTTCACCTAAGAACCCAGCGACTCCCAGCTTTCATGGGGCCCCTTCTGCACTGCAGTAGGCAAGTAGTGGTTGCCCCTGACCCCATTCAATTCCCACCTCCTCAGGTCCACAAGAACGAGATTGCACGAAACCGAAGCCGTGTGAAGGAGATCAACCAGTACAAAGACCACCTACAGGAGGAGCTTGACAACCTGGAGAGCCTGGAGCCTGTGGAGTAGCACTGGCTGTGCCAGGAACAGTGGCCATACTGCAGGGACTTGGGCAGTGGTGACACAGTTCCCCTCGCAGGTGCGTCCCAGCCTCTCTGCCTGAATGCCTGTACATAGCCCTGAAAGTGGCCTGGGACTGTCCCCCACCCCACACACACACTTCTCCTCAAACATGCAAATAAAGATACTACATTTGAAGTGCCGCTGAAGAGAAGCTAAGGGGACTGGCTGGAGCCAGAGGCAAAGCCAGCTCCAAACAAAGTGAGGGACAGCTGGAACAGGCTGAGCTTGAGTCCCACTGGGAGCAGGATGTCACACCTGAAAGGTGGGCTTCCTAATACTGGGTGTGCAGGTAGCAAGCAACCCATTCAGGCCCTGGGCCGTGGCCACAATGGGGAGGTAACAGGTTGACCAAACACCTGCCCTCACAGCTAGTCCTAGCAGGTTTCCAGTCCAGCAAGCATGCAGCTTGCTGATGCTCCACCCTCCTGGGAGCCTCATCTTGCAGTCCAATTGGCACAGCAGGGAGGGAAATCGCTGTCTCAGCAGGAGCTCACGCACTGCTGCTCACCACAGCCAAGTCATTAACTCCCCTCCTTGCTCAGCAGCTGCTTCACTTTGCAGGCAGCTCTGAAGCCTGACGCTGGACCCTGGCATTGCTGGAGGCAGCAGCAGGGAGGGAAGGGGGGAACTTAGGGGACACGGAAGGAGGTGGCAGCACAGGCATTTAGGGAAGGGGCCAAAGCCTCCTTTAATAGCACTGGGACTCCGTAACTTGGCCCAGGGCTTTGTTGACGATGCACTGTCCTCCCCTGGAAGGGGTGGAAATCCGCTTTGCCCCCAGCACTCGGAAGCCCCAGCCTTGCTGGTGCGGAAACAGCACTGGCTGGCTCAGGAGGGTCCCCCCACTCCCCTCCCCGACTGCATAGACAGACACTGACTGACAGGGACAAGAACCCGGGAGAAGCAGACCCAGTGGTCAACCAGTGTTCACACTGCCCTTTGATGCTGCTGGCCCCAGCAATCCCTAGCCTGTGGCTGTCCGGCACTGCAATAGCCAGGCAGCACCATGGAGAGGTAAAAATAAATGGCCATATGTGGCAGCTTCCAGTACTGGTCACAGGGCCTTTAATCAAACCAGGAGAGACTCCAGCAGATCCACACTGGGCGAGGGGCACATGCAGCCCCTTCCATGTCCTGCCTGACCACATAGATCCCTCTGGATTTAGCACCACATGCAGGTAACAGCTTGGTGGATCTCACAGCACATGGCAGATGACAGAGGCTATGGCACTGGGATGGAGAGAGAAGTGTAGGATTTCTCTAATTCATGACAAGCCCCAGCAACAGCAAGGGCTGGGATGTTTAACACCAGGACTTCACCTGGACCTCCCCTCCTACAGAATGTGGGGTGCGGAGAGTTGCTGGCATAACTTGGCCAGTGGTGGGCTAGGATCCTCAACAGGTCAGGCCTGCTCACTACTGGGCCAGCTGGAACAACATTCTGGGAGGGACAGGGCAACACTGGTGGCAAGCAAGTAGCTCTGACCCACTGCATTCTCCTGCCCAGTGTCCACTACCTCCCTGGGTCTCAGTCCTGCAGCAGCTTGTGCTTCACTGTTGAGCTCTCCAAGCAGAGGTGGGCGAAGAGGACCCCAGCAGCCGTGCGGGCACGCAGCTCATGCAGGTCAAAGTCATGAGCCCATTCGACCTTGCCCCAGCACTGGATCTGGAGAGGGAGGAAGGGGTCAGTCCACCCAACAGGCAGGTGAACACAGCTCTCAGCCTCCATGTCCCTTCCAGGAAAGGCATTTCTCAGTGGTGGCATGAGGAACAGCCTCCGATCAGAGACAGTCTGTGCCAGGTCTGAGTTGTCTGCACAACCAGGTTCCTGCTACTAACACAGGCCGTCTCTCTTCTGCAGGGGGAAGCTGCAACCTCCCCAAGAGCACAATGGGCTTTTTGGGCCAGCACAGTGCCCCAGCCAGAGCTCTCCAGAGCCCAGTGGAGCAGTGGGCACCCAGCCAGGCAGAACCCCATCCTGCTGCTGGTTATTTGTGCCGGGAAAAAAATCTGTCACAATGGGATTATGCTCTCTGACTTAAAGAGCAGCTCCAGAACTGTTTACCTGATACTCCTCCTCCAGCCGAGACAGCAGCACAGCTTCCTCAACTGTTATGCGCCTGTCTATCAGCCCCATGGACAGGATAAAAGATTTCAGCTGGTTGATCACGTATTCTATCCCTGCAGGGCATGAAACAGCACACCAGAACCACCATTACTTGGGCAATGCACCAGCGGCATCTTTGAGCACGCTAGGCAGTGCTCTCCTGGGATCAGGTAGACAAGCTATCCCCAGCCCCTTGGATCTGCACACTCCAAACCCACAGCCACCAAAAAGCCAGTGTGACATCGTTTGGCTCATCAGGACCCTTTGCTACTGCAAGCAGCTTCCTCTCCAGCTGTGAGCAACCTCCCTGGCATTACAAATGTGTCTGCCAGGAGAGGATGAAATCAAGTGCTCTGGCTCGCATTGAAGTCAGTAGGTATCCAGGTGCTCAGCACCCCTGAAAAATCGAGTGACTGTACAAGGGAAGCAGGCAATGAGGCAAGAATCCTGCTCAACCTGAGCTAACAGTGAGGGCTGGGGCCAGCACCAGACTCAGGAATACAAGAGGTGTGTCCACCAGCTTTGCCTTCCTCACCTGCCCCCCGCCCCAAGGAACAGAGAACAGACATGGCCAAGCACATTTGGGGAGGACCTGGGGGGGACTACACATGTGGGCAAAGGAGCTGTTTCCCCACAGCATGGTGCTCATAGCTTGGCTCAGTGGTGCAGCAAGATGCCTGGGGATTGTGGCAGTGTGCGTAGTTCATACCAGCTTTACTCCAAAGAGGGAACAACCAGTAGGTTGAAGAAAGGATGCCAAGAGCCAGATTTAACCAGGAACAGGGAGAAGATCTCAAAGATGGCATAACTTTTGACCCCTGGCATGGCCCAGTCATGGCTTGCATGGTGCTGGGCTTGGGCAAGGAGATGGCCTTGGGCTTGTTCTCTGGAACTGGGGCAGCAGCACATGGCCAGGCTGCCATATGACAGTGGTCGCCTTTGAGAGCTAAAAGAGATTCCTATGCATTTGGGATGGCTCAGACCCCGGGAATTCCCCTTCTCTATTAACAGGGCATAACACACTGCAGTGTAAGTTCACAGGGCCCCCTGTGCCAGGCCTAGACAGGCCCTGCCCTGAGGCACTGGAAGAAAGTTTGAGGTGGGATGTTTCCTTCTCCACCCCACTGATCCAAAGCACCTTGCAGATGAGAACAGGATGGGTTTCAACACTGACAAGTGCAAGGTGCTGCACCTGGGGAGGAAGAACCAGCACCATACCTACAGGCTGGGGAACTCCCTTCTCGTCAGTGCAGAGGCAGAAAAGGATCTTGGAGTCATCATTGATGCCAAGATGAACATGGGCCGGTAGTGTGGGGA